TCATAGAAGGGATTTTTATGCCTGTATTTTTGGTGGTTTGAGGAGAGATTATGAAGGATGACAAGATGCTGATGGAATAGCATTTGTTAATAATACTAGTAAACTTGATTAGATTCAACTTCAATATTTAATTGTTGTTGCAGATATATTCATTTCATGTGTCATTGTTTGTTTTGAGGATGTTTTATACAAACTTGGGCTACGTGCTTACCCTGAGGAATTGCTATTTATGATTGGGGAAGTTGTTCATAATTCTCAGTATGTATATTTTTACTATGTCTTTGTTATTTATATGTACCTGATTCTTTATTGCTGCAGGTGGACTCCGTGATCTCACAAGCACAAGAAACCTTAAAATCTCTCATGTTTCAACGTTCGACATTTGGGGGCATTAATTCAAAGCTAAGTAATGTCAGCAGTCGGCTTCCAACGGTAAGGAAATTAATTTTTGGTACTGTTGATTTTATTTTATTTTTTTCCTTTCTTCTTCCTCGCAATGTTGGTGTTTAGAGAGGCAGTTCTATATTTTGATCGAGGCATCTTTTGAAGGTATAAGATTAGTTGTTATAGAGCTGTCACCTAGTTGACATGTAATTTGACATACAGAACATGGATATGGGACCTTCAAACTAATATCTTGGAAGAGTATCATAGGGTATTTAAATCGACAGTTTGAGACAACTAAGTGAATTATTCATATCTATGCTATTCGTTAGTGCCAGATAAGGTGGGAATCGAGACGATAGTTTTGCTGATGAATCTGTCAAATTTATAAATATCATTCGAATGTTGCAGGTGAATCACATTCTCTCGGCTATAAAGAAGAAAAAGTCCATGGATACCATCATCCTTTCCTTGCTCGCTGCTGTTTGCACGTTTCTCATTTTAATTTACTGGTGGACGAAGTAAGAAAACATTGCGCGAGTGTACTGGTGGAACCTTGTGACGTGATCTTTTGCTAGTTATATTGTTTATACATACCTTGTTAAGCTGTCACAAATTTTTTGCTTTCTATACTGGTATTGGCTTCTCGGACAACACTGTAGCCATTTTGTTGGCGAACGACACTTTGGTAAATCTAATCAGATCGCAACCAAGTTCAACAATGGCTTGTTTATCACTGGTGAATCCTTCGATTTTTTATTTTATTTATCATTGTAGAGTTAAATTCGTGTCTTAGTTTGGACCAAGCACTATAAATTTCTGCCATTTGACAACTCTGGTTTGAATGCAGCAGATGGGGGCAACGTGCTTGTTTTTGGAGCGCTGAGAATTGAAAGAGCTTCCAATAAGGCATTATTCAATACAAAATCTTTTAATCACTTATGAAAAGTCATCTCAGAGGAAATGGTCTAGATTAATACCACAACAGTGGGAATAGAGTTTATCAAGGGAAAAATTTCAGCAAATGAAATTTATATGAAAAAGATCAATTGATTGATTACAGAAAAGATAGCGAAAAAAATTATCCCTAGAGTCGAGACTAAGAGGAATGTATAAACCAATGCTTCCATAGCACCGCATAAAAACATTCCTCCTAGAGTATCTGTTAATACGAATAAGAGAAATTTTGTTATAGCAATTTTTGTACATTTAATGTACTATACAGATAAGTGGTCAAGGTAATTGTAAGTGATTATCCAAAGCCGCCGAGTCATAGACGGCAGCTTTCATTGTTGATTCAAATTAAGATTCAAAAACTAACGGCTTTACATTTCCAATCACTCTTTCATTGACCTAACTTGAGATATTGGCATCAATTTCTCGACGTTGGGGTCACTTGGACTTGTTTGATTTTGTCTGTTTTGAAAGACGGGTCAAATCACGTGAACTTTGGAACCCCTCGATTGAATTTAGAACACAATGTTGTAACTGGGAATTCAACTCATCCTCCAAGTTAAAGAATCTCATTATTCACCAAATCACGCTAGAACTCTATATTTCTACATCTTGTTTCTTACTATCATTACATTTGAGCCATTAGAACTTGGAAGAACTCAACTTTGACACCACTTCTACTAGTTATTGTTATAGATACAATTTATAAATTGGTTCGGTAAAAATAAAATATTAATTTTAACCACATTTTTATTAATTACTCATTGTCGTTATTTCATGAAATTGATTACTATTTTCAAAACTAATCTCCTGTTCACAGTGGACAACAGATATAATGCCCACCGTTGATCTGACAATTTTTTTTTTACTTTATATCCCTCTCGATCGACGTGGCAACGTGTCTGCTACATTGGTGGTGGGCACTATAACCTCCTGTGTCCACTATAGACAGGAGATCAGTTCTGTTACTATTTTTATTTGTAAATCATTCATAAGTTGTTCACATAGAGACTTAAATTTGAATACAATCAAACGTCAAGAGTAAGAATAAAGCTCCCTGTCGACGCCCCTCCACTAGGGGGCGCCACCCTGACCTTGTCCCCAAACCGGGACAGGGAGCAGGGTTGCAAGAGTAAAAGCAGGAATTACAAAAGGCTGAATATGATGGGATAGGAAAGTCTTCAACAAATCATACTATTTGTCATTGCATGGTCTTGGTTAGGTGATCAAACCCATGGGTAATGTTTCTTGTGATCTCTATCAAATTTGTGGGCCTCAATTTTTTGATCTTATTTTATAAATGAATTTGAAAAGCTAAAAAACAAAATCAAAGAATTTCAACGTTGAAATGGTAAGGAACGTGTTCAATTTTCAGTTTTTTTCTCCCTAGTGTTGTTATTTAATGGTGGACATGTCACGTACCACAACTTAATTTAAATGGGAGTTAACATTAATATTGTCAAAAAATTGTTTTCATTTACAAATGCAAAACACTCATTCGACCAAATGTCTAATGGAGTTGGTTTAACTAAGTTTGATTTCTTTTCCTAGTTATTAAACTCGAGCCCTTAATCAGGTCGAATAAAATAATATAATTGGACTGCCATCGACTAGATTCAAGCCTGATTAAATCGGCTATTTTTATAAACCCCCAACTCAATTGATTGATTTTTGAACAAATAAACCCAATATCTCGAACGGGATCAATGTTCGAGTCGAGTCTCGCAACTATCTCTATCCTTACTCTTCCCAATGCTATTATTTTGTTCAGAAATTAAGGCACCAATCTTCAATAAAATTCTTAACCACACACTCCACCTCATTCTCACGAGTCAATTAAAAAATAAAGTCAAAATTTTTATTGATGTGTTTGTTATGTGTGACTGAGTAAAATAATGACTAAAGGAAAAGAAAAGTAGCGAAGAAATTAAGAATTTACCTCAAGCGGGTCCTTAATTTGCTGTAAAGCAACAATAATTTGAAAAAAGAAAAGTGAAAAATAGAGACAGAAATCAACCAAACCAAAGAA